CATGTCCAAATACGGCCTGAACACTCGGTTCATCAACTCCATGAATGCTGCTGGGGCATTGGTCAACCCAAACGACATGACCAGGAACTCATAATGCCCGTACCGAGTGCGGAATGCTGTCTTAGGGACATCGGATGCCCTAATCCTCAGCTGGTGGTAGCCAGATCTCAAGTCTATCTTTGAAAACACTTTTGCACCCTGAAGCTGGTCAAACAAATCATCAATCCTCGGCAGTGGATACTTGTTCTTTATCGTCACCTTGTTCAATTGCCGGTAATCAATGCACATCCTCATCGATCCATCCTTTTTCTTCACAAATAACACTGGCGCACCCCAAGGAGAAACACTAGGCCTGATGAAATCCTTCCCTAGCAAATCTTGCAACTGGCCCTTTAACTCCTTCAACTCTGGCGGGGCCATGCGATACGGCGGAATAGAAATGGGCTGCGTGCCTGGGGCCAGATCAATACAGAAATCAATATCCCTGTCGGGCGGCATACCCGACAGGTCTGAAGGAAAAACCTCGGGGAACTCCCGAACAATAGGAATAGAATCAATAGAAGGAACCTCTGTGCTGGAATCGCGAACATACGCCAGATAAGCTAGACACCCCTTCTCGACCATGCGTCGAGCCTTCACATATGAGATAACACTGCGAGTGGCATGACCTGGGGTCCCTCTCCAATCCAATCGGGGTAAATCTGGCAAAGCCAAGGTCACAGTCTTGGCGTGACAATCCAAGATGGCATGATACGGGGACAACCAATCCATCCCTAATATGACGTCGAAATCCACCATATCTAAGAGCAATAAATCAACACGGGTCTCAAGACCCTCAAATACTACCACACAGGAACGATGAACTCGGTCCACCACTATAGAATCGCCCACCGGTGTAGATACATAAACAGGAATACCCAAAGCATCACTAGGCATAGACAGGTAGGGTGAAAAATAGGACGACACATATGAATACGTAGACCCAGGGTCAAATAGCACTGAAGCATCCCTATCACAGACCAGAATAGTACCTGTAATAACAGCATCTGAAGACTCAACCTCTGGCCTGGCTGGCAAAGCATAGCACCGGGGCTGGGCCCCACCTCACTGCACCATATCTCTGGGACGATCGACTGCTGGCTGGCCTCTACCTCTGGCGGTCCGAGCTCCACCTCTATGATCTCTACCTCCACCTCTATGGCCTCTACCATAAGAATCCCCACCTCCAGACGAGGCACCATGAATTTACCTGCATGACGGGGTCTCTTGTCTGACCCATAACCACCTCCCCGTGCAAGAGCCATCTCAACTCTACGGGCCGCATTGGCCGCCTCCTGAAAAGAAATCTCACTACCAGCTCCCATAGCCATCTGGAGACGTATCGGCTGAATCAATCCATCAATAAACCTCCGCACCCTCTCTCTCTCTCGGTGGGGAGTATAACAACAGCATAGCATGCCAGATCAATGAACCGAGTCTCATACTGTGTGACTGTCATAGAGCCCTGCTGGAGGCGCTCGAACTGCCTGCGTGGTAGAAGAGGAAGCATGTGTTCTCGCCATCTGTGAAAGAACAGAGTAGAAAGACAATCAGTATTTGAGAAAACAGAATCGCAAGACAGGAAAGAACAAAAGTGAAACTTTTCCTAACTCCGTAGCCTCTGGGGGATAAATACAGACGTCTCCGTACCGATCCCTCAGACTCTACCGAGGTTGTCCGTGAGTTGTGAGACCTATGTAACCTAGTGCTCTGATACCAACTTGTCACGACCCGGATTTCCCACCCTCAGGAGTCGTGATGGCACCTACTAATAGGAGCTAGGAAAGCCAATTAGTTAACATTTCTCTCAACATCATTAACAGTATAAAGAAGAACGAGGCAATTAATATAAAAGCGGAAGTCTCGATACGTAAATAACTGAAACCAAGTGCGGAAATTCAAATACACCTCTACCCAGATCTGGTGTCACTAACTCACGAACTTCTACTAAATGCTAAAAACAAACTCTGAATAAGAATACAGTACTGTCTGATCCGATACAAGGGAAATCAAACGAAAGACAGAGATACGAGAGACTCCGGGCCATGCGGACGCCAGCAAGCTACCTTGGAAATCTCCGGACTGAAGTAAGCTCCCAACGCTCCTACTGCAGACCAAAGGCTCCTTCTCCGGTACTATGATCTGTGCAAAAAGCACAGAAGTGTAGCATCAGCACAACCGACCCCATGTGCTGGTAAGTGCCTGGCCTAACCCCGGCGAAGTAGTGACGAGGCTAGACAGGACCTACCAAAAAAAACCTGTGCAGATATGTATATACAAAGGCAACAGAAATAACAACAGAGAATATCAACTAAAAAGGGGAAGGGGGCATGCTCGGGAAAAAAATACAGCGAAAACAGATCAACGGATATAACAACGAAACTATCTCAATACCATAGCTCATATATAAGTGGTCGGCGCGCCACACGATCCCATTTCTTAATTCATAAGTGGACGGCGTGCCACACGATCCCATTTCATAATATATATATATATACATAAGTGGACGGCGTGCCACATGATCCCATATCATAGTTCAAAATATCTGGCTTTGTAAAGAAGGCCCCATTAGGGGAATTCGACAACATAACACTTTAACCCGGCAAGGGTACAACTAACAGCCCAAATATCCCGGCAAGGGAGAGTACATAATAATAGTCTACACGTCCCGGCAAGGGAATAATCACAACACATCCTATTTTAAATCACTTCTTTCTCAACTATCACATTCTTGTTCGAGCCAACGCTCCAAAATATACCAATCACAATTCTTCCTCAACCGTTCACATTATATGAAATTTATCAATTAAACAAGAAGGTTGTGTCACATCATTCGAATTAAAAGCAATTAAGACTCACGGTCATGCTAGACTCCGGTGCATAGATAACCGTCACCATGCCTATGCACCGTACTCCACATTTAGCAAGTAGCAAATAACATCCTAATCCTATTCCCTCAAGCCAAAGTTAGAACAAACACTTACCTCGGTCCAAAAATAGCAACCAACTCTCTAATACCGCCTTTCCTCTACAATCCAACTCCGAAACAATGATATCTAGGCATAATTAGTTCAATAATATCAATAAGGGCTCAAAACATAATCCCATAGCCTAGAAATGAAATTCCTATCATTCTTCCAAAACACCAAAATTCGACACCGGTCCCACATGGTCCAAACACGAGGCTCGGACCAAAACCCAATCGCCCATAACCCCACGAGTTCAAATATATAATTTATTTCAAGATTCGACCCCAAATTGAGGTTGAATCACCCAAAATTCCCAAAAACCTAACTCTACCCAAAACCCTTAATTTCTACTTTGATTTCATGATTTAGGGCTAGGAAATTAGTAATTAGATGAAGAAATAATGAGGGAATGATGTTAAGATTAGTTACCCAAAGAGTTATGGAGGAAGGAGAGCTTGAATTTCGTCTATGGAGGGTTTAAGAGAAGAGCTCGTGTGAAAAAAATGAGAAATCCCGTGCTGCTACTGTTCTGGACATAAAAATATAACTGGGCGTATTTACTCTATGCGATCGCAGAAGGAGGCTTGCGATCGCATAGGGGAAGGGAAAATTGACCACTGCGATCGCAGAATGGGTCATGCGAACGCATAGAAGAAAAGGGCTATGCATACCGGGGTTGGTTTAATGAAACGCGATCGCGGAAGCTTAATGCGATCGCAAAGAATGAAGGGGCTAAGGTACGCGATCGCAGAGGAGTTCATGCGATCGCATAGAACAGAAAATGGGCCTGATCAATTAACCCTACGCGATAGCAGAAGAATGTATGCGATCGCAGACACCAGCAACAACAGTTTTCTGCAGCATTCCTAAGGCTAAAACCATCCCCAAAAATACATCCGGAAATCACACCCCGAGCCCTCGGGGCTCCTTAAACCCAACACATGTACTAACTCAATAACATCCTACGAACTTAACCGTGCGATCAAATCGCCTAAATAACATCAAAATCCATGAATCAAGCCTCAAAATCATCATTTTCATTTCAAACTTCTTAAACTTCTAACTTTAGATATTTAGGTCTGAAACACGTCAAATGACGTCCGATTTCGACCAAACTTTACAGAAAGCGCATAACACATATTTAAGACTTGTACCGGGTGTCGGAACCAAAATACGAGCCCGATACCATAGTCTTTTAATCAATTTTCATTTCTATTTTCCTTAAAAATTTCAGAAAGACAATTTCATAGAAAAATTCATTTCTCGGGCTCTCGACCTCGAAATTCGACTCCGGGCATATGCCCGAGTCTCATATTTTTCTACGGACCCTCCGAGACCGCCAAATCACGGGTCCGGATCCGTTTATCAAAAATGTTGACCAAAGTCAACTTTAGCAATATTAATATCAAAATTCTTCAAATTTTTCACAAAGTTCACATATTCCAACATAAACGCTTCCCGGCTTCGCGGCCGGACTGCGCACGCAAATCGAGGCAACTAAAAGCGAGGTTTTCAAGGCCTCGAAAGCACGGAGATTGGAGGAAGTCCGGTGATGACCCTTTGGGTCGTCACATTATAAAACCAAAAAGAAAAGAAAAAATGTTTTAAACCTTATACAACCATTCAATGCTAGCCATATCTCAAGGTATTTTGAATCTTTTCTTTTTGCTGTGGATTTTTTTTGGTACGGAACAAGTATTTGAACTCAAAAACTGGTTTTGAAATTTACATTCTATTCATATTTTGCGATTTTTTTAAACACGTATACACTATTTTAGTCGAAACAAATGAATTATACCAAACTCATATACTATTATTCTACTGTTTTTACCTGCGTCACTGTAAATGTGGCACCTCGGCTCCCTTTACACATTACCAAGCTAAAGGAGACAGCATCACAACCTTCCTTCAATTTCAAGAAAACTTTTTTTAATCTTTTCAAAAAGAATAATACTAAAAGAAAGCTATAAATAGTTGAAAATCCCGAAAACCACACAAATATAATAAAATACAAAATTACTTCTTATCACATTCAAAAATATCCATCGCTCTTTGCTCTGCTTACCGAGCTTGACACTCTCCAATCCAATGGCGACGCATTTCCCCACAACATACTCACGCGCCGTCGCACGCGCCTCCATTCCACCTCCCAATGAACCCAAACTAGAATACCCATTTACCATTTCCACCAAAAAATTACAAAGCCATTGGAAATTAAACCAAAGAAGAAGGAAGAGTTCAAGAATCAAGGTGTCAGATGATGGCAAAGATTCATATTTGGATATGTGGAAGAAAGCAGTGGATCGTGAGAGGAAATCTATTGAGTTTCAAAAAATAGCTGAGAACACTGCTGCTGATGAAGAAGAAGAAGTGAAAGAAGAAAACCCAGAGGTGTTGGAGAAGAAGAGCAATGAATTCAACAAGATTCTTGAAGTTTCATCCGAGGAAAGAGATAGAATTCAAAGAATGCAGGTAGTTGATCGTGCTGCTGCTGCCATTGCTGCTGCCAGGGCATTGCTTCAGGAGAATCCTGTGCCAAAGAAGGATAGCATTTCGGTTGAATTGAAAGCTAATGGTGGTGGAGCTGAGGAAAATCAACAACAAGGTAAAACTCATTATCTTTTATTTTTCCTATTCACAACTTTCTTTGATATATATTTTACTCCTTGCCACATGTACAAAAATTCTTAACTTCTTGTTAGTAGCAGAATGGGTGTCCGTTCTAAGAAATATATTTCTCTTTCTAAGAGTGGAGGAAGTTTTATCTTCCATTCTGGGACGTCTATTTATTAGTTGCATAGATTATCTTAACCTTGGATTGGTTGCAAGGCAGTTGATTATGCATTCAAAATAGTTCCTCTGAGGAGTCATTTTTGCACATGCTAGCTTGATGTTTTAATGTCCATTCTAATTTTCAAATTCGAATTTGAAATTGTATTAATTTCTCACATTCTGTTGCATTCATGAAGTTAGTATTTAGAAATTGATAGTGTTTTACTCGATAGGTGGAGTTGTCATTTCTTCTTTTGACTCTATTGCTATGTTCTGTTGGTTGGATATCCAACAACGATACTGATGATATTTCAGCGCTTACATGATTCAAGAAACTTTTGGTTCTATGTAACTGTGCTTAAGCTTTTCTTCTTTTAATGCCTAAGTTTTTGTCCCTCGTTCTTGTAAATTTAAAAGCTATTTTTAACTGGACAAATAAAATGAAATAATAGAATCCTTTCTGCTTCTACTACCCTTTTTCCTTATTTTCTCCCTTCCCGGTGCTGAACGAAAACAACACCTTTTTCTTTTCAAGAATATGGCCTTTAATGGGTTCAAAGGGAATCCCTAATCTCATTTGCTGCACACTTTGCTATTACAAACCTGTTATGAGATTCGTCTTTCTGCAACATAGTTGTAGTCCTTCTAATAGCTTCGATCTCAATTTTGGATAGAATGGAGCTGCCTCGCTCTCCAAGATTTTATTATACAGTTTAAGCCGTAATGTTTTCTTATGTGTGGTGATGTAGTACTTCACAATTTTAGGAAATATGATATTACTTGATTGCTCATACTTCACAGAGAAATGTGATATTACTTGTTCCAATCTTTTACTCCATTGCTATTACATGGTGGCTCAGTCATGTGATATTTGTACTTGATCAGGACCGCAGAATGTCATCTCCATTGTGCCTAAATCAGGAACAATTATGGGAACACCAGGTCCAAGCTTCTGGTCCTGGACACCTCCTTCAGATAGTTCTTCTGATGACATTCAGATGAAATCAGATGGGTCTCTGACTCCAGACCCACTAAACCCTGTGATAGAGAAAGAACGATCTCCAGATTTTCTATCTATCCCATTTCAGAGTGCTATGGTTGATAGCAAACATAGTCCTCCCCTTCCGCCTCTTCAATCACATTTAGAGGTTGAAAATTTGGATGCTTCCAGCTCAACACCTGAGATACCTCACCAGGAGGAGGAACGTGAACTTGGCATTCTGTTCTCCGCAAATGCAGCAGAAGCAGCTTATGCTCTTAGCCAGGAAAACGAGGCATCATTCCAGGGAATCAATCCTGATGGATCAAGATGGTGGAAGGAGACGGGGACTGAACAAAGACCTGATGGGGTGGTCTGCAAGTGGACGCTAACCAGGGGCGTTAGTGCTGATAAAACTGTTGAATGGGAAGACAAGTATTGGGAAGCTGCTGATGAATTTGGTCATAAGGAACTAGGTTCGGAGAAGTCGGGACGAGATGCTGCTGGAAATGTGTGGCATGAGTTCTGGAAAGAATCAATGTGGCAGGTCAGACTTCATGTGCTTTGTCATAATGATGAGTTCTCTTTTGTGCTAGCTATTGGTCTACAGTTTATGAGTCTAACTGCAAGACTGCTTTCTATTCCCAGACAAAAGTGAAAACAAGGAAGATGAAAAGAGAAAGGGGAGGGGGAGGATATAAGAGGAAACTTGCTGTGAAGAGTTAGAGGACAACATAAAATTTCTTGTCCATAACTTCTTTCTTAAAACTTCTTAGATGCTTTTGGTGAGACAAGGTTCAAATCTATCAATACCTTTTGTCTAATTAACGTCTGGTTTCTTCTCAATGAAGCTACCCAAATTAGGCGCTAGAAACATATCATGTGACATGATAAGGTGAAATTAGCTATTTTGGTCTGGGAATCATAGGAGGTTATGGTCATCATCATACACGTTCCTCCCCCTCCTCTGGGTAGCTAGTGCTGTTGAACTGAACATTCTATAAGAACTTTGTGCTCCTATTTTTCTCTCCTTGCTTTCTGTCCTCTATCTCTGTTTGAAATTTCCATTATTAACATTTTAAATGATAAAGCACAGTGCTGCTGTATATCTCCAGTGAAGATAGGTTGTAACTTGAAAGGATGGCCTGTGATTGGGATTTGAGAAACTATGGAAATACTTTTACCTAGTCTGAGACGCTGTGTATCTTCTCTTATTTTCTCTTTATTGTGGCTCTGTGTAGAGTGGTGGGCTTGTCCACATGGAGAAAACTGCAGATAAGTGGGGAATGAATAAGAAAGGTGAGGAGTGGCAGGAGAAATGGTGGGAGCACTATGGTGCTGGCGGCCAAGCGGAGAAATGGGCTCATAAGTGGTGCAGTATTGATCCAAACACACCCCTTGAAGCCGGTCATGCTCATGTTTGGCATGAAAGGTATTAAGATATATGTATTCTATTTTTCAACTTAAGCTCTTATCTCACATGTGCACTCAGTAACTAGCATTGTGTTGTACATTTCTGGAAAACCACTCTAGTTACCTTTTCTTTCTTCTTGGACTTGTAGCGCTTTTGATAGCTGAAAGCATATCTCTGCCATCTTTTGTTGTTCTTGAACAACCAAATCTTCTGATTATTCCATATTCAGAGGTTACTATAATATTCTTCTATAAAGTTTGGAGGGCTCTATTTTCAAGGTTTTAATGGATTCTCAGACAAACCATATCAATATGAACCAATATAGATCTAAGTTTAAAATGTTTGAAGCCCTCAATTTTGAATAGACTTTGTATACTTTATTAACATTTCTTGTATTGAACCTAGTAAGCTACCATGCCATCTCTGAGATAGTTTTTCCTGAATGCTGTCATAACCTAATTGCACTGATCATAGGCCATGAGAGAAGCAGAATCAGAGCATGCATTTATTGGTAACTTCAAGAACTTTGTGATGCTTATATGTACTTGCAAGGGTACAGCTGCTTTCTCGTTATCACTTAGTCCGCTTCATGTTATGTTAATTCCTTACCAAGTATGGTGCAAATCCATTTGGCAGGTGGGGTGAGAAGTATGATGGGAAAGGCGGCAGCACAAAGTATACAGATAAATGGGCTGAGCGCTTTGAGGGAGATGGTTGGGTGAAATGGGGTGATAAATGGGACGAGCACTTTGATCTAAATGCACATGGCGTCAAGCAAGGGGAGACATGGTGGGCAGGCAAAAATGGAGAGCGTTGGAACCGCACTTGGGGAGAGGGGCACAATGGTTCGGGATGGGTGCACAAGTATGGAAAGAGCAGCAGTGGGGAGCACTGGGACACCCATATAAATGAAGAAACATGGTATGAGAGATTCCCTCATTATGGTTTCTACCATTGCTTTGAGAACTCAGTCAAACTCCGTGAAGTCAAAAGACCTTCTGAATGGCCGTGAGGAGTAGTTTTTTGTGCTTTTGATACTATCGACCAGGGATCAACGTAAAATACAGAACATATTATATGTTTTTCGTTCAGCTATTATGAAAAGAGTGTTATAGTGTACGTGCTTTCTGATGTTAGTTCAACTCTTGTAAGATAAGTAGTAGGAGCATATTTTAAACAAAGAAGTTGCCTATGTTGCTATAATATTTGCTCAGAAAGGCATAATACCATGTGGAATTTCCTCCCGTGTGTCTTGAGGCTTATGATAATCAACTGCAACTTTTTCAATGTGGTGGAGGGAGACATGATATAGAAGAGGAAAAATAGGAAAAGATAAATTTTGGTAAAATAAATGTATCCCTTTTAAATGTATTTCTATCACGATTGACAGTGTAACGCATTGTGATGCAATTGAAGTGGTACTATCTTAAATCAGTTCATTTGTAAAGAATAAGTTCCAAGCAAAATTAAGAAATTAATGGAAATATGGTTTTTGCTAATTTAATTGATGATATATAAATGACGTTCTTGTTTGAATCCTTAATTGAATTTGGATAGTGTGTCACGACCCAAAAATCCCTCCGAAAGAGTCGTGATGGCACCTAGTCTCTAAACTAGGTAAGCCTGACATTAGCTGAAATAACATTGATATTTATTAACTTAAAATGAAATTTCTCTAAACAATTTACCATTCCCAAAACCGGTAGTACAAGTCATAAGCTTTTCTAAGAGTAGTTATTCAAAATAAATACATCACTGTTCCGAACAAAAGGTACATATGGAAATAAGTACAATCGAAGGTGACTCCGAGGACCGCGAAGGCTGCAGCAGGTTTACCCCGAGTCTCCAGTGCAACGAACAGCTACTATCGATCAAATACCTAGATCTGTACACAAAAATGTACAGAAGTGTAGTATCAGCACAACAATATTCTCATATTACTCAGTTCATAGGTTATACCAATACAATTAAGAATGTTCAAGGAGCCTCATTCGCTTAACATAAAGTAGAGTACAACTTCAAACCCAATTAGAAAAATCAACAAGAAGAGATGAAGTCATTTTCAGAAATCATTTGATAAAGAAAATATCCTTTTCAATTAAAGTACAATATCTAATGAATCATTACCTTTAATACGAGAAATCAATAAATCAAAACATAGTAGAAATTCCTTTTTAAGTAAAGTACAACCTCAAACGGTTTAAGAAAAATTTAGTTGAGAAAACAATTAAGGTAAAAATGTAACAATTGTTGAGATTTGAAGTATTGAACATATAAAAAAAAAGGCGAGGTATTGTAAATACTATGGATTCCAACACAAAGAATCACGACAGTAAAACGATCTAAATAGTTAATACATTTGAATTGTTAATAACAAGTAAACACAGCAAACAGAAAGTGCACGGCATCACCCTTCGTGCGTTAACACTCTCTCACTAAAACAATACACGGCATCACCCTTCGTGCTTTACACTCTTCCTCACCCAAGCAACAAACACAATGCAAATAGGGTAAGGGAATCTATAACATCGAAATAAAATCAAGTAACAAGTGCACGGCATCACCCTTCGTGATTTTACTCTCATCCTTACCACAAAATCAATATAATAGGCACGGAATGGTACATCGTGCAGCACGGCATCACCCATCGTGCTTTACATTTTCTCATCATAATCATACACGACATCACCCTTCGTGCTTTACACTCTTTCCTCACAAACAACAATGCACGACATCACCCTTCGTGCTTTATCACTTTTCCTCACCTAAACAACAATCACAAACAATGGGGCGAGGGGATAAACAAGATTAAAATAAGAATCCCGGCAAGGGAACAACAATCAATAATATCAACTTCCCGGCAAGGGAACAACAATCAATAATATCAACTTCCGGCAAGGGAATAATTTATACCTCTTTTTCTCTTTATTCCACTTACATTTCATAACTCACTCTAACACTTGAGCCAATGCTCCAAAGTGTGTGATTATCTCATAAACTTTCACAATTTGTATTGTAATTTGAGCCAACGCTCCAAGGGTTCAATCAATCCACTTGCTTTCATAATATAACTTGAGCCATTGCTCCTCTATGTTCAAGAATCACAATTACTTCATTCACTTTCCACAACAAGTAGAAATCATCTTTAAAGCATAGGTTATTCAACATAATCATGAAGTTCACATTATAAGACTCACGGTCATGCTAGACACCAACGTATAGATACTCGTTACCATGTCTATACGTCTTACTCACAATTAGCACATAACAAATAAGACTCAACTCCTAATCCCTCAAGCTAAGGTTAGACTAAACACTTACCTCGCTTTGCAACCAATTCGAAATTCTAACAATCCTTTGCCTCGCGAATTCGTCTGAAGCTTCAAATCTAATGGTGTAAAGACTAAATCTAAGCCAACGGGCAAAGATAGTTGGAGCACAGCAACAGATCAACGAAATCAGCAGCATTTTAATGGTTGACATGAACCAACATTGCTCGAAATTCATTTCTCCCCGATTTTATGCACAAATGCCCAGTCTATTTATATTTTTCTGCCTACGACAAGCACACTGCTCGAAACTTGGATATGGATTAACAACTTCGATAAAACACCAAAAAGAGTAGCGAAGGTGAAATAACAACAAAAGAAAATGATGTACGTCTGCTACATGGTCTTAGGAAAGCAAATGGGGGGTGCTGTCTTGGGGTCACAAATGCACTGTTCATGTGCGTTTTCTTTCAAAAATCACAAGAGGAAGATCCAAAAGAAAAATGGGAAACGGAACCTTCCTTTTTTGTTTTCTTTTAAGAAGATAAAGCTAGCTTTGGAAATGCGAAAGAGAAGCCTCCAAAAATCCGATGGGGGTCCCTTTTTTGGTCACTGCGGCGGAAGAATTTTGCTCTTAGGCCTCTAGGTTTTTTTTCTCCTCCTTATCTCTCTAATATGCCCTCCTCTCTCTCTAAAATCAGTAAGAAATGACCCCAAAATGAACCCCAAGCCTATATATTGAAATGGGGTCGGGTTATAAAAATAGAAAAATTAACCCTCTGAAGTAGGGTTTCTATCGCAAAATGGACCACAAAACAAGAATGCTGGCCGCATAATGCATCACAAAATCGGTGCCCAAAACTGGGCTACACTGGCCCAGTTTGCGACAGAAATGCGACCACAAAGTCAGAAATGCGACAGGCTTGCGATCGCGGATTTGACATAGGATCGCATTTTTTCAGCCTTTGGTAAATTGATCATAACTTTGTGTAGGAATGTCCAAATGACGAACGATTTGAAGCGTTGGAAACTAGACTCGAAGACCTTTCATATGATAGGTTGTTCATCACATAAAACATTATACATATTTAGATATGCTCGTTCAAAGTGGAGACTTGTGCGAACTCATTTGAAATCTTATCCTATTATGTAATTTTCCAACTTGGCTTAGACTTAGGGCCTTCCTTAGACCCCATATATCTTATAGTAAGCCTCGTACACTTGTTCTCATATCTAATTGGTATCCATAATGATAATAGACCTATTCCACATATAAAATAATATAATTAGAACACGTCAACTTTCTTATTTCGCCAAAATGCGCCGAAATGTCCTATGGACTTCCAACTCCAATTCCGGACATACGCCTAAGCCCAAGATTACCATACGAAGCTATTGACATCGTTAACAATCCATTTCGGGGTCGTTTACTCAAAAGTCAACTCCCCGGTCAACTCTTTCCATTTGAGCTTCAAAAATAAGATTTATTTTTCTTCTTTAAATTTAACTCCGAATCTTACGAATACCAAACTCGACCATACATGTGGGTCGTGATGCATATTACGAAGTTTTTCAAGGTCTTAAGCCGTTGAACGGAAATGCGAAATTCTTAGAACGAAAATTGTACCCTTGGTCTAGGGTGTAATATGAAGGGGAGGAAAACAAAAGAATTTACTTGACTCACTTCGGTTCTAGAATTATACGACTTCTCATTTGTACCATTTGAAGGGTGTTTAAGGTAAGGAGAGAAAAACGCGTTTTCTTGGAAGATTATTGGGAGACTTATAATTCTGGAAAAACTCTAAAATTTAAAACGAAAAAGAGATTTTTACATGCTTGGTCCCTTTTTAAGAACTATTCTCATAAATGATAGTAAGTTTTGTTTATTTCAAAAACAACACATTTTTTTTTTAATTTTTTAGCACTTTCACATTGATAACTCCATTAACTAAGGTACATTTCCTTTTCCCTCACTCTTCCATAATTTCTTTTTTCTCTTCCATAAATAACACTTACCCAAATATATCAAGATTCTAAAGCAGAATATCTCAAAAATAATTTCTCTGCACAATGAAAATTTCAATATTTTTTTCTTTTTTGAGTTTTAAACTTTTTTCTGTACAATTTTATTTTAACTCAAAATGTATCTTTAATATATTTCAAGTATATTATATTGTGATAATTTACAATGTAAATATTTCATCAATATGTCTTATATATATATATATATATATATATATATATATATATATATATATATATATATATATATATTAATATGTATTTATACCACATATATAACTTATATATATACACACATCATAATACATTATTATATTGACATTATTTAAAGTATATTGCTAGCATATACCTTACATACAATTTAATCTAAAATATTAACATGCCACTAATATGTATATAGAAGAAAATAAATATGTCACATATACTATTAATATACGGATAATTTATACAAATATGCATATTATATTAGTGCAAAATATAAATGGCATATTAATAATATATGTTTAAATATAAATAACTGTATAAATAACATATGCATATATACATGATTTTTCCTAAAAAACACATGATTTATAATATACCACAAACTTACATTATTTTTTTTCCATAAAATATATGTATTTTATTTCATTGGAATATACAGATATATAATTTTGCTAGGATTAAGTTGAATAAAAAGGTCCATGTATAAAAAGGAAAAAATTTGTTATGGAATGGATCAATGATATATATTTAAATATAAAGACGTATATAAACAACAGATGCATATATACATGAATTTTTCTAAAAATATATGATTTATAATGTATATATACCACAAACATACATTATAATTGTTTCATAAAATATATGTATTTTATTTCATCAGAATATAAAGATGTATAATTTGCTACATTACATTATATAAAAAGGTCCATGTATGGAAAGGAAAAAATCTGTTACGGAATGGCTTGGTTTCTAACGAAATCATAAAACATGTTATGGAATGGAGAGAAACAATAGGGAAATATATTAAATACTAGGATTGCCTTTTTAAACAACTTGATTCTTGCTGATTTGAATTGAATTAAATCTGCTATATGTATAAATATTTTACTGCCATATTTGTTAATCATTAATTAATGCTAATCTTTTATATTATATTTTTAATAGTGTGCTATAAATGAAAGTAGCCCAAGGAAAAAGGCGACTTACTCTTTGGAAAATGTATTTTAATAAAATATATTCCGGTATTTGTAGGAGTAATTATCTTTTAAAACAAAATGTTATAAATAGAATTGTATTTATGGTGAATGTCTATATTGAGAGAGGTTTTAGGGTTCATTGTTTGGTGGCTAAGTCACCCTGTCCCTATAAATAGAGGGTTCTATTCTATTGTAATTCATCCCAAAATCAATAAGAATTACTCTCTCCCTACTTTTCTCTGCAATATTGTTCTTCTACTTTTATTGTTTTATAACACGTTATCAGCACGGGACTCTAACCAATTGAGTAGAAGCTTTGGGATTGAGCATAATGATTGTCAATTGTTCCATGAACTTCCTTCATGATTAAATTTTGGATTTAAGGTAAGTATCTTACTTTATTTTTCTCTTTTAGATTCTTGACAAACTATAATTTGATTTTAAATACAAGCAAAGACGATAAATTTTGATTGTAACTCTAATGGAGTTTGAAAGAAATTATAACCACCCAAAGTGGTAAAATTTTTATGCCTTGCCATGATCAAATTCATGTATGATTGTGGGCAAAGAATTAAAAATCCGTCCCATTGAATTTGCTCCATTCTCATTCCCTTAAGAGAATGTGATAGCAGTATGTGATAAGTCTGAAAAAAGATAAAATTATTTCTTTGAATGTATCAATGGAAGTAGATGTGGCAATAGACGAAATTATAATCGTCATCATTGTGGTAATGAGAATGATAAGGATTCTCAAAATAGTCTTTCACTCTGTGAAAGTAATGTTTGCCATCGATTTGACATGAGATTTTGTAAAGCACATATAGATGATTATGGTCCATTCATGATTTAAATGTGACAACATGTGATTTATGAGTACATATTCATTCTTCAAAGAATATGAACGTGCTAGTGGTAGTGAATATACCGTACTCACCTCTAAAAGCAGGTTTGAGATGATATAAGAAAATAATGTCATTATTATGGCATGAATGGTCATTGGTCACGTACCTATTGCACGCCAAAATATTTTGGTAATGTGATTATTAAAGAATAGCATTAATGCAAAAAACATATCTTGCATATAATTTTGACCATAACCATAATGGTATAACTTTCTCTTCAAAAGAGATATTCACCATATGAATGTTGATGAATATGTGGTACTACAAAATTAATTGAGAATTCTGTAAGAGCCAATTATACTATTTCGGAGAAACACAATTGATTACCAATAAGGTATTGTGTTGTAGTAAGTCTCAAAAAAATTTAATTGAGTTTCTAAGGTATTTGCGAAAGCGGTTGGTTCTATTGAGACTATAAATAAAGGAAAGATTTTAATATCTTCTATTACTACAACTTGTAGCGGGGTGATATGTATGTGAAAAATTACCCGCTTTATTCTCCAGTTTGTTCTACACAAATAAAAGAATACCACAATAAAGTGGATGTTTATTCATATAAAAACCCATATCATAATAAACTTGGAGTTTATTGATAATTGCACATGTCATGGTGTAAACTTGAGCTTTATCAACATTATTAATTTATCCAGTTGGCATAACTAGTTTAGCCATATCAATTTAAGTATGATGTGCAAAAATAAAAGAGAGTTCATATGGGTAAATATTAAAGAACTAGAAAGTTCTTTACGAATTCTCTTACGTTGCTTATTCTCATTAATCAATGGACCAACTAAAATTGGGACTGAATCCCATGAATGCTGGAAATATCAAAGGTGAATATGAGCTCATTCACCTGCCATGTATACCACATAAGATGCATCTATGAGATGGTTACATGTGCGATTATTATTAACCCGCAACATGCTGTTTGCGAGGTAACTTGCTCAATAATTTAATTTAGAGCATAATTTTCAGATTTTTTATTCAAGATAGTTCATCTTGATAAGTTGGTTTATATCACAGTTGATTTAGCAAAATGATTTATTGAGTGCCTCCACTTAATAGCTAAATAATTCCTTATGAGAACAAAGTTATCTATATCAGTTTGATATACGTTATATACGAAAGTATATTATTTTCTCCCCTCACAAGTGGTTCAGGGTCAAGAACCAAATAATTCCATCTTATTATTATTGATGTTCGGGGTATATTTTGATTAATACCATAATACACAAAGATGGGTTCTTAGGAAAATAAGTTAGTTATTCTAACATGAGGGGGAGATATGATAAACAGTTGAGAAAAAGTTACGTGGAATGAATTATCATTTCTACATTTAGATCCTCGAATAAGATAATATGAAGTTGAGGTTCATAAAAAAGATAATTCATTTGCAATATATTGCAAAGCATGCCAGACACATTTGTTGACCCAAAGAAAGTATAGTAACTATATTCTCACTGCAAATGCCCCTATTAGAATAAGTCCTAGAAGGACAAAGTCTATGGTACGCCTAAAGCGTATAGACAAATCGGTTTCAAATAAACTTCTTGATAAAGAAGATGAGCAAATGATCAAAATGATCATAATAAAGGAGG